CGGCTCCGGCCTCACGAGCCATTGGGCCCCGTCCGCCAGCAACGCGAGCAGTGAAAGCCACGTCCGTGCAGAGCCTCTCCCACGCACGTTGTCCCGGTGCGCCGCCGTATTCCGCTTCCTCCCTCTCTCTCTGCAAGGAGAAGCCATGGGAGCCACTCCATTTGTCTCCCGACACTCAGCTCCTGGCACGCACGGCCCCGCGCTCCTCACGCCTTCGCCGTCCTCCCGGCCAGGCTGGCTCTGGCCTCGCGAGCGACGCGTCAGGGCTCAGTTTTTGACAGGATCCCCGTCTGGGCAAGCACCATGCAGGAGAGGATGGGGCAGAGCGGAGCCAAGGCAGGTCCGAGGGCCTTGCTGGGCGCTTGGGAAGAGGAGGGCAGAGCAGATGAACCTGCAGCACTGGAGCACCCGGGCTCATCTCAGCACGGCGCCCGTTTCCACTGGCATCCAGAGGGGACAGAGGTTCCACGTGCCTGCCCTTTGCCACTGCTGACTGCAGCGTTGCCAAGCTCTGTGGCAAATGGTGCCACCTTTGCTGTCATCTCCTGGCTGCTCGGAGGGGGAGTTCTGGCCTTGTAATGCTCTGCTGGGCAGGAGAGGTCCCCAGCTGACTGCTGGAGGCCCTGCAACACCCCAGCACCTTGGCTGGGCACCAAGCACTGGGGTTGGTCCCACCAGCTGCCTCGACACCAAGCTCAGAGTCCCAGAAACTTCTAAAGCCCAAGACCTGGTACCTTGTGGCCACGTCTCCTTGGAGGCAGGGTCACCTCCGTGGATCCCTTGGCTGTGCGTCCCCTTTGCCCATCAGGAGCATGTGTAGAAGGGCTCCCAGACTGGCCTCTCTGCTCCCTCTTTCCCCTGCAAGGGGTTAGTGGGGCAGGATAGCTGGATGTGATAGTTGAAGACCGGGAGCACGAAGGCAGGTCCACGCAGCAAGCAAACACATCCCTTAGATCCATCACTGCGCTCCAAGCCAAGCTGGGGACAGAGGCTTGCCCGCTGCCCATCCCAAGGAGCAGCAGCAGGCTCAGCATCCCATGGGATCTCCAGCAAACAAGCTGTGTCTCCAGGTGATGCGCCTGATTTCCCCACGCTGCCCAGTGCTATAGACCCAACCCCTGCCCCTAGAGATGGGTCTCCTTCATCCCAGGAGGTTTTTCACCTCGTGAGATACATCGGTGCAGAGTCTAGTTGGAGGCCTGTGGCTAGTGGGGTCCCCCAGGGGTCAGTCCTTGGTCCAGTCCTGTTCAATTTATTCATCAATGACCTGGATGAAGGCACAGAGTGCTCCCTCAGCAAGTTTGCTGATGATACCAAACTGGGAGGAGTAGCCAAGGCTGAGAGGGGATCTAATCAGTGTATATAAATACCTCAAGGGAGGGAGTGCAGAGGACGGTGATGGTCTCTTTTCACTGGTGGCAGTGGTTTCTTAACAGTGAGGGTGACAGAGCACTGGAACAGGCTGCCCAGAGAGGTTGTGGAGTCTCCTTCTCTGGAGATCTTCAAAACCCGCTTGGATGCAGTCCTGTGCCACGTGCTTTAGGTGTCCCTGCGTATGCAGGGGGGTTGGACTAGATGATCTCTAGAGGTCCCTTCCAACCCTAAGCATTCTATGATTCTATGATTCTATGATCGGGGTGCAGGAGCTGAGCCCGAGGCCTCCCTGCCTCCCTGCTGCCCCCCTCGGCCCCGCGGAGCTCGGAGCAGCTTACGGAGCAGCTGCACTGCACACACTGGTTGGGCTGGCGGCTGGGGAAGAGCTCGCTCGCCGTGAACGTCTCGCCTTGCTGGTACGTCGTCCCGTTGTACTGGCAGGACTTCACAGGCGCCCGCAGGCCAGAAGGTGAATTGGGCTCTGGAAGGGAAGAGGAGAAAGCAACGGGCTGAGAGCCATCCCCTCGCCGGCCCCAACGGGGGCTCGGCCAGTTCCCCGGCTGAAGAACAGCCAGGACCATCTTGCAGAGGGGAGACATAAACATGGAGCACTTTTATCGGAGCGGGCAGCGGCAGATCCAGGCCGGGCTGAGCCAGCTATGCCTGGTATGAGTGCTGTAAACACAGCACCGTCTATCTCCACACATCCCTTATCTCAAAATCAGGCTGGGATTGCTAAAAAACCATCCTCCTCCAAAGCCCCCATGGGACAAGGGCAGGATGAGAGGCAGCTCCCTCGCCCAGCCTTGGCTCCCCTCTGTGCAAGCATCGAATCCAGACCAACATGATCCTCACGGAGACCTCGCTGCTCCCACGGGGGCACCGAGACCCCTCTCAGATGCTGGATGGAGTCTGGTGCCCAGAGGAATCAGGTGTGCAAAAGCTTTGGGAATTCCCATGACCGTTCTGAGCTCATTGCAAGGGTGAGATCGAACCTAGAAAGCTCTCGTGCCAGCGTGGTGGCAAAGCTGTCAAAAACCACCACAATACTTGAAGGGACATTTGAAAAACCAAAAAGATGGTTTACAATTTTTGCTAATTACTGAGGGGAGTAATTAGCTTTTTTTGGTCCAACTCTGGCAGTCATTTAAAGATCACACACGAAGAGGGAAAAATTCGGGAGTTTTGTGAAAATCTTCCGCGTGTAACCAGAATTTCATTTTTTCCCACTTCCAAAACATTTTGCTGACGAACGATCTGAATATCGTGCTGGTTCCCGCTCTGTCATTGCAAAGTGAACCGACAGTTTTGCCAGCTGTGGGGAAGCTGGGGCTGGTGA